AGACGCATAGTACGCTCACACACATTGAGGGTGATCAGATTATCAGCCCCCCAGCTGTCGATGTGTCGTTGTCCCCCCGCCCGAACATGCCCAGGAATGGAGATACAGGACCGTGAAGCACGCTAGTTCCCCCATTGCTCCGCCTTGTACCTTTTTGCGGCGCAGATACCCGTTCTTCATAACATTCCGTCGTTAGCGCGCGCGTCGCGTGCGGCTCCTTGGCACTTGCAAGTCCTTTAATTGCGCTTGCAAATACAAGTAAAACGCAATTTCTTGATGCGGATAACATTGGAGGTGCTACAAAATAAGAACAGAAGATGATGACGAGGGTCAGCACTTAAAAGCAACTGTGCCACTTCTGCAACATCCCTCGGAGGCCGCGTATTTTCCACGATACATGAAAATAAAAACGGCATACTCGTTAGCTTGATACAAGCAAAACGCAATTTCTTCATGCGAATAAAAGTTTAGGTGTTGCCCATGCTTTCAAAATCCATTGTACAAGGAGATGAAGATGACACAGACTAGAAATGAAGCACAACGATGTAAATGTAAATAAAACAAAAATGAAAAAATCAAGGAAAGGCAAATCAGTTAAAATCGCCTGTAAATTTCTACGATCTGTCGCGAATCCGGCGCCAAAGCCATAGAAATACTTAGAACAAACGAGTGGGACGCTTGGATTGTTTTTATTCTCATGTTTGGTGAGAATGCGCGGCCTCTGATGGATTCTGCACATGCAGCCGAGTTGCTCTTGAGTTCTGGCCCTCGTCATCATCTTCTGTTCTTATTTTGTAGCACCTCCAATGTTATCCGCATCAAGAAATTGCGTTTTACTTGTATTTGAGAGCGCAATTAAAGGACTTGGCAAAGTGACAAGGAGCCGCACGCGACACGCGCGCTTACGACGGATGTTATGAAGGACGGGAATCTGCGCCGCAAAAAGGTGTAAGGCAGAGCATGGAGGAATTAGCGTGTTTCACGGTCCTGTATCTCCATTCCTGGGCATGTTTGGACGGGAGGACCACGACACATCGACAGCTGGGGTGCTGATAGTCTCATGCACCCTCAATGTGTTTGAGCGTACCATGTGTCTTTGGACCTACCGTGGATTGTTCCTATAACGGACGTAGCAGCACCTCTCCTTATCTCTCGGAACCACATTAGTTATCCAGTCAACATCACGAAAAGGCAATTCGCAAAAAAACTCAGCGCAGTAGACCCACAGCCTTGTTCGCTGCGGATAATCAGTGAAGCTGGGCCTGGCTCACCGCCAGCTGTTTGAGGAGGCGAGCGTCACAGTTGATGGAAAATGACTGATACGTACCATATGATGGTCTTGTCGCTTCTCGAAAGAAAAAAAACGGGTCGACTTCGCACCAATCGCATCCCCTTCGACAAGCCCCATCATCCGCAGCGACTGTATAGCTAGAGTTGAAAGTGGTGCTGTTTATCGACGGGGCATTTTGTACTATCACTGCTTTATTCCGGTTTGTAAATCTCACATTGCTAAAACTTGTGAACTCTTGTAAAGCTGGAGCAGGATCGTCTAGCCACCATCCCAGAACGTGTCAACTTGAGAAAACGCGACCTAGATGGATCGATACATCTATGGAAAGCAAAATTTCCCCCCCCCCCGGGTCGATAAACTGCGTTTAAGTTAGACCGTTTAAAGTTATCGAAAACTCCTTGTTGTTGTTCATTTCTGTTTAAACGAAACCGTGACAACTTATGCGTGGGGGGGGTATTGGAAGCATTGTTTGCTATTCTGCTTATGAAATTTAAGAAGCTATTTTACTTGTAACCAAATCCTACTTTTTGTACAGCAGCTGTAACCGGCTTATCACTAGACATGCGAGACGCAACATTAGGCAGAAATTAGTGAATTCATTCCCAATAAGTTGTGTTGTCGCGCTGCGGCATTGCCACCTTGAATCTGTTGGTTCTGGTGCAAATGCCGCGCACGCGACATCATCTGCAACGCGCGTGCTCCTCTGACCAGGGAAATCCACCAACTTACCATGGAACTTAGAATGGAGACCTGGGTAGATCGATAGAGTCTGTAAGGTTATTTACAAATATATTAGGTTGTCCGGAACGTTCTCAACGTTTTGTGCACCCATTTTTTTGTACATTCACTGCTGATTAAATGTATGCTTCTCAGTAGCACATCCTGCAGAGTATTTCTTGCGCTGTCTGATGGTATTTGCCGTTTCACCATTGCTTGATAAACGCCCCTTTTTCAAGACTTTTTGAAGCATGTCAAAAGAGCGACTTCGGACAATATTTTTCTTCAACTACAAATTGGGTCAATCCGCAGTCGAGACAGCTTGACAAATTAACCAGGTGTGGGGGTCCAATAGTACTGGAGAAAGCACCGTGCGACAATGGTTCGAAAAATTTCGTTCTGGAGATTTCAGCCTCGAAGATGAACCTCGTAGCGGTCGACCTAAAGCAATATCTGACGAGGATTTGAAGGCAGTCGTAGAGGCTGACCCATCCCAAACAGTTCGAGGGAATGCAGAAAAGCTAGGACTTGGCAAATCCACTGTTGCAGATGGTTTGAAACGCATTGGGAAGGTGAAAGAACTCGATAAGTGGGTGCCCCACAATCGGAGTGGCCGGCAGAAATTGGCACGTCTCGAGGTTTCATCTGCACTGCTTTTGCGTAACAGAAAGGACCCGTTTTTGGACCGAATTGTCACCTGTGATGAGAAGTGGATCACGTGTGATAACAGGAGACGTTCTGGGCAGTGGTTGGATGCTGACGAACCACCGAGGCAATTTCCAAAGCCGAATCCACGAAAAAAAAAGATAATGGTCAGAGTATGGTGGTCATCAGTGGTGTGATCCACTACAACTTTTTGTTACCAGGCCAAACCATCACAGCAGAGTCCTACTGTGAAGAAATCGACAAAATGTACCGAAGATTACGTCAGCTGCAGCCAGCACTTGTCAATAAAAGGTCCGATTCTTCTGCACGACAACGCCCGCCCACACGTTTCACAAACCACTATCCAAAAATTGAGCGAATTGGGGGTTAAGTTCTACCCCACCCGCCATATTCTCCAGACCTTTCACCAACTGACTATCACCTTTTCAAACATTTTCAGAACGTGGATTCTCGGCCATCCAGTTTTTTCTTCGATGGGATTTATCGACTGCTGTCACATTGGCAAAGTGTGCTGACTCGAATGGTGCTTATTTGGATTGAATCCGCTGACTGGTAAAGTCTGTAGTGGTGTAGCAGGGTGGAGACTTTGTGGTGAACTGTGAAGCATAAGCGAGGAACCGTATGCGTCAAATCGAGCTGTAGTAGTTCAGTGGTAAGGTTCGGCGTTCAACGACTCGATCCGACCAATGCGTCTCCTGGCTTTCCTCACAGCTCACCACCAAGCCTCCGCACTAGTGCACCATTACAAACTTTACCAGCTCGTAAGTTGCTTGTGATATGCAGGTTGCAGTTTTGCTATCTACATTTATAAATAACCTTATAGATTCTATCGATCTACACAGGTCTCCATTAAGTTCCTGGTGAGTGTCGGAACTACGCCCAAGATGTAGTAGTTTACTTGTGTTTAAATGCATGACGCCGAAGTTTATTTCAGTGTATATATGTACAGATCCTGAATGCCGGAAAAATATACGTGTTAAACATAACAAAATTAGGGCGGATACCAAGATCCATGGTGATACATATTCTCAAAGAATAGAACTCGCAATAGAACACTCGTACCTACATATCCATTTTCATCTAAGTAGGACAGGGAACGAAACAGAAAAAAAGAGGGAAAAACAGAAGAACATAAAAGGAACAGGAAGGGACAAAAAGTGAGTGAGAGAGAGAGAAATTAGGTCAGATAAAACAGAAACATGGAAATAAACTCTAATATTCACTTGAACAGCTGTCACTGGGTGTTAAGTGGGCGGGCTAAGTATATGGGGAGGAGCTATCGGGGATTTTGGTTCATCTAAGAGGCATGGAATTTCAAGTACCTGTTTGTTAGACACACGCCTAAGTTCGATCCGATTAGTAGTTATTCTAAGTCTTTTTAAGGGAAGTGCAGATAATACAGAAGCAGTAAATATAGAGCAGAAACAATTTACACCTAACTAGTAGCGAACGGAATGTAGTTTTCACATCGTACATGTTAAGCGGATTTTTTTTATTATAAAAATTGGAGCTAGAACGAGTCGAATGAAGAAGAGTTACGGCATTTGCACAAATACAGATCAGGGACGAGAGGGAATGCTGTGCATAAAGGAGTGGGCACGTTTTCTAGAGGCGGGCGGTTGTTGTCAACGTCACTGGTGCTTGGGCTGCGAGGGACGCTTGGCCACACCCCATCCAGCCCTTCAACCAATGAGATCTGGGTGACACCCACCCAGCAATTCTGCTCACTTTTAAAGTGTGGCCGCAATTGGAATGAAACATTTCCTTGGGTATGGACGACGCAAACAACTGGATTGCTGGGTCCGGGTATACATCAAGTGGGCGTGGCTACTTCCTTCGTTTGAACATGGCGTGGAAGGCATTTTTTAAGTCTTTCAATATAGGATCATTGCCACATTGTCTTGTGCTGGGCAACGACATGATTTCAATCGCCTCAAATGCAGAGATCTCACAAAAAAACGCATTCTACGCCATGTTTAAAGGGAGCACGCGGCCACGCCCACTAAAACTTTTTGATATGGACTGCGAATTTCTTTCCCCTTCAATATGATCTTCTCTCATCCCTGACTGCAAAAACGCTCACATACAACACGAACATGCACTACAAAACGCACTGGCCCTGAGAGAGGGAGTCCACATAAAAAAAGCCTCAACTAGAGCAAGGTAATGTGACTTAATCGGCGGCGATTTCTCATTGAATTTTGCATGAAGCAACACCAGCAACAGTAGCGGCAACAACAGTAACGGCAAAAACAAAATCATAATAATATAAAAATTGGGAGAAGAATTTCACTGGCCATTCAATCTATGTACATTCATACACCGGTCATGTTTTCGGCGGCACATTCAGCATTTCTAAATCGTCGTCGTCAACACTTGATTGATTCACCTCTGGTCGATCCAGAATTTCCACACTGTCATCTTCTTCGCCCTCACTTTCCTGTTTTTCAACCATTTCCGGGATACTGACTGAGTCCGGGGATACGTCCTTATTGATGATCTCCGGCGTACTCTCACTGTCACCGGTAACTGGTTTCTCCATAATTTCTGGCGAACTTTCACTATTGGCTCCCTCAGACTCGATGAAAATCTCATCACGGCCTGCTTCTCTCGCCAGTATCTGCAGCTCCGATGCCGACTTGCTCAACAGTACTTCCGGACGATCAAATTCGACCACCTAGAACACAATGTTGGAAATAGAATAAATCACTTTCCAGGAAATTCAATTTCAATCATCCAGGAAAACTGGCGGAATACAGTACTCTAAAATGGGCGTAAAACTGAGTGCGTAGGAGCATCGAGTGCACACATCACCATCCATTCTCCTCTAGGTAGCCCTTGTCTAGGAACTTGGACAAGTGAACCGACTTACGGTGCGCCCAGATGTGTGCATTCACGAGGCCAACACATTTAGTTTCACGCGCAATTTTCCGGGTACTGTATACCAACTGTTTTTCTGACTTTTTGGAAAACTGAGCTTTCTGCTACTATAAAGTTCCTACCTTTCCACCATCCATCATCAAAACCCTATCCAAACCGTAAACATTTTCTAGACGGTGAGCAATAAGAATTACCGTAGCATCCACAAACACTTCCCTAATTGCCTGAAACAGCTAGACGTGCATATGAAATAACGGGAGACGGGACAAGACAATCGTAAGCCGCACGGCGTATCCTGCGGCCGTGCACTGGAAATGCTAAATGGGCTCCAGTTTGTCGACTGGAGCAGCGAAATTTGCAAGAGGTCAAGCAAAGGCAAGACTGTATGACAGGCGAGAACGTCCTGACACTCCTAATTGAACGGCAAGGCGAGAAAACTCGCCCTCCGGGCACGCTTCCGTTCGCCACGCCCACCAGCGCGCATATTACGGTTGTCTTGTCACATAGGCTGAAATAAGTGACGAAAATTCCGAGCTAAAGTCAAGCCTGACCTTTTGTATGAGCTTATCTGTGGACATATCAAGACTTGCTGTCGCTTCGTCTAGCATGACAATTTTAGCCTTTCTAAATTACAAGGTTAAGTAAGGTTTAATCAGTTATTAATCAGGTTCAATTGGATATTTCAACCGTCTATGGGTAGCGCACATACAATCGTTTTCGCTATAGACGCTAGGGCGTGTCAGGAGGTGGGTTTGGCACGGCGCCAGCCCGTTCTCAACCAATTGTGAACATAAGGGGGGGGGGCAAAAAAAAGTCACTTTTCTTCATTGACCTTCGAGGCGCTATAAGCTACACTTTATTGAATTCTGACCGGACATTCTACCCACCATAGTAAAGAGCATATTAAATACTATCATGACACTCCGCCACACCACGCGACCGTGAGTGGGTACCTGGGGTCAGCGAGATAGTCGATTTCTCCGACACCGTAGACCACCCTATTGAACTCCGCCCGAACTGGGTAATTGAGGGGATTCAGTTCAGGTGACGTACCTGGATATTCCATCTTCTCTAGGTACTCAGCCCCTTCCACTCCATGAAGGCAAGAGTTTCTCCAACGCCCCTCGATTCCATGTGGTGGCACCCAATGCTGTAGCAGTACAAAGTTTCCAAGAAGGTACGGGTGACGTCCATAAAGGGAGGATATTCTTCTCGAGCTGCTCGATGTAACCGCTAGCGCTCACCTTCAGTCCGGGTCCACAAAGAAAATATAGGTCTTCCCATTCCAGGTACGGCCGATCCACACCATCAACCCGTGCCTTGGTGACTGTGGTGAAGATAATGTCCTAGACCGTGGCAACGTTGTCGGAGCTGCACGATGTTGGAGATCATCCAGATCGAGAGCACTGGTCTCCAGGTAGCTATCCATAGGTGACTCCATACTAGAAGTTTCGCAGCTGTTTGGAAGTGACATGAATTCCAAAAGTCTTCTCCAGTCAGGCTGCGACTGTAGATGATTTCATGTTTTGGTGTACATGAAGGTGATGGGCGAGAGAAAGCTCCTGCTTATCAAGGAACATCTTGGGTATCTTCTGCCCTGGTACTCGTATCCACTTCCTTTGTTTGGGCTGCGGAAACTTCGCTGATATGTGACTCGGCCGAAGGGACTTTTTTTTTGGCCCCCTCCCTGTATAAAGCGACTAAAACTGATGGAATCAACTGAAACGAAGCATAAGATAAGTCTAGTCGCTTGCTGAATAAAAAGTAGGAAATATTGGGTTTGCGCCACGATAAACCCTTCTCCTCTTGACACGCCCCGTCATTCGCAGCGAACAAGAGTGGAAGACACTAAGCTTTTCTACCTCGGAAACAATGCCCATGAATTACAGCTAGCCATGGCGTAAATCCTAGTGCGCAATTTACCACAGAAATCCAATGAAGACATGAATTTTGAGAATGACTAACGTCAACAGAGCCCTTGCGAGACATAGCAGTTGCCGCTCACCAACAGAGAAGTTTTCTCCGCCACTCGCAACTTCTGCTTCCAACTTCTTTTCGAAATTGGTGATCTTAAGAGAACCACCCGTTATTCACTACACATAGACAGAAGAAAAAAATCGAACTCACTGTTGGTTTGAGATACGTCCTCTCCAGAGCTCTCCATATCTCAGAATCCGTGTACACATTATTTGGATCAAGATTCGATCGAATAGTACCAGCGAACAGAACGGGATCTTGAGGGATTACGGACATCGCTCTAAAACGTAAAAGTAAACTGGCCGAGTTAAATGCACGCCTCGCGCTCACTCTATACTCCGCTGCCTTCTATGGTAGTCCTGCCTGCAAGCAGGAGAATGAACTATTTTTGCAGCTCAAAAATACGTGAAGAACGCACGACCCGCTTGCAAAAAGGCCGCAGCAACGCTCACTGGTCAGGGCAATTCCCAGCTTTCATGGCTTAAGGTAGGCTAGTTGCAATGGTTCCACTGCCAGCTCCACTTTGAGTGGGTGAGATGACAGGGGGAAAGAGCTGATACCAGCAAGCGAGAACTCGTCTGGCCACGCCCTATGCATTTTGCCCATGCCATGCTTCTGCACCTACAAGCGCGGACCAGCATGAGGTTCTACATGGGGCGTTTTGGACGGGTTTTTTTTCCTCTGCTTTTTCCTTCTTGTCAGTGTTACTCGCCGTCTTGTCACTAGCATTTAAAGACAGCTCCCGCGATAAAAGTCTCTTTGATAGCTGCTTTCCAATTATGAAACAGTAGCTGATAAGTAATCTCCCAAAGAAGAAAACAGGCAAGAAGCGTCCTCCAGAACAACATAAACAAAATCGCTCCCTCACAGTCACACCTCCATACGGTTCTTCTGGCAACCCCTACTCACAATCTCTCATATCAAATCTCGACAGTGTTGATAGCGAATTTTATTTGCAATTCTTAAAAAAACGCAAAAAAAAGAAATACAAAAAGAAAACAACAAAAACGCAGAGGAAAAACCCTTGGAAGGAAAAAGGAATTTTATCAACAGCGATGTCTGAATTTTGGATTACGGTAGCGCACGTTTTGTGCGTCGAGGTTTTGCATCACAAAAATTGGTCACTCGTGCTTTTTACGAGTTTCACCTCGCGAAATGAGTTGAATTGAATGTATTATATATACCTCCAATGAGTAAACTGTAATAAAGGGGAGCAGAGTTATCCATGGGCATTAGCGCCCGCCGCCTCAACTAAGAACAACTGAGTGGCCTCCGTCGGAGGACATCTAGCAAGTAAGGCGGTCCAACCGAGCGAGCGTTAGAACTAGAACTTACAGCGGCTGTAGCTCGCCTCTCGCTCGCTGCGCAGAATAGAGTGGGACAATCTCAAGCTTGGGGGCTGTACTACTTGCACAAGGAAGGACGACCATGTACTACTCGAGCGCGGGGGCTGTCTTTAAGCCGCACAACACACTATTTTTAAAAGCGGGGCGTGCTTTCAAAGTGCTATTTTGTCGTCACCGAAAATTTTAGAACTGACTCGCTACGGTAGAGCTGTGGTGGTTCCCCAAGCGAGTTCAAAAGGGAAAAAATCCCTATTATTACAGTTACAAATTTAAAAAAAAATGGAAATCACGTCTGATGACCAAAGAGCTCAGTTAAACTTACTTCCTAAGACGATGGAGGCCAATTGTAGCAATATCAACACCGTCAATAAAGATTCGACCCCATGTCAACGGATACAATCGATACAAAACGTTTCCTATGGATGATTTTCCTAAAATATTTAAAAATTCGTACCTAGACTAATCGAACTTTTCCACATCTAAAAAGCAGTTCACTGACCTGAACCAGTTCTTCCAATCACGCCAATCTTCTCTTTGGGCTTAATTTCGAAGGTGACGTCATTCAGAGCCAGTGGGAACTTTGGACGATAGCGCAGCCTAGAAATTTCATGGACCTGAGTTTTGACTGCTCGTGACAAAAACGTTCGGACCACAGGTCCCTCTTAAAGGAGGTGAGTATGGCACTCTTCCCGATTTTAAAAGCAAAAAAGGAGCCAAACAGTGGGAAAGTAAAGCAAAAAGGCGCCGCGACAGAAGAATACGCCGAACAGGGCTCTCGATCTTCTCTGCACTTTGAAAAGGACGAGCATACACTCCATATATCGAACATGGGGAGGGCGTGGCTGTGTAATCTGCGTTTTTCGTAAGATTTTCCATTTATAATAACTGCCGCCCTGACTTGCAATGGACAAAAACATTACTACAACTGTCCCAAAAATATACCATCACAACGCAGCCGTCATCACATCGGAGCGATGTATGCAAACACGCCCTCTCCTATCCGGGATATGGAGTGCACGTTCAAGATAACTCGTCGTTGTCCACGATCAATGCAGTAGAATCGAAAGAACGTAGCGAAAAGAGCTGATCCCATCTTGGTCACACCTCTAGGTCACTCCCCACTGCGTACAGGTCGCCGCACGCCACACCCTTATGCCATGTTAGGCTGAGCGGTTATTTGAAAGTGGACAGTTGCTCGGAGGAATGTCAAGAATTTCGCCCTTGCTAAGTCCCTTTTAGCGCGCCCATATGTGCACAACGCGCCATAAAGTGTTTGTCAGAAGCTCGGTATTATTTTTTGCTATGCATAACTATCCTGTACGCATAGTCAAGATATAGTGTCCACTGCTCCAGAAGTATCAGTGCGGCAAAGCTACCTCTCTGACTTCTCTTCCTGCTTTTTTTCCTCTTTCTTATAAACATTTTTTTCCTTATAAACATATGAAATTCAACTCACTTCACACTTTGGAAATCAATCTGTCCGTTCTGTGGCCATTCCTTCGGCACGTCTACACCTTTCCTGGTCTCCCAGTCGCCTTCAGATTGGATGTTCTGCACAATATTTATTTTAAGTTCAGGCCTATTGCTTGCTACTAACAATCACTTATCCAAATCCTGGATACATCTAATAATCTAACAAGTACACTACCTCAGAGTAGTACGCCACTCGTTCAACTGACGTCATCTTTGCTTCAAGCTCAGTCTGTGTACGTACAGCAAATTGGAAGATGCCACTCATCTGCAAGGGAGTCACTCGTATGTTTGGATACTTCTAACACTTCTAACAAACATTCTAGTTATGACAAACCTGAACAGCGAACGCGAGCGCCATGCCTGCATCGGCTGGTGAAATGGTTCCAGTGAGTATGACTATGAAAAATGCCACAATGGAGGTGATCATTACTACCAGAAGATCCAGCCATACAGCTAACCACCTCATAGCCGATTGGAACATGAACACAGCACCACTGAAAGACAATGCCGTGATAATTCTACGCGTAGGTTTTTCCTCGTCCAGCAACTTATCAAAATCCACAGGGTACTGGTGCCAGGCAAATAACATCTCACCTGCTGCGAAAGACAAGATTGCAAGTTCAGTAAAACAGGCCGTGTACAGTACTCCTGAGAACTGCGCGTGAAATTGAATGTGTTGTCTACGCAAATGCACACAACTGGCATGCCAGTGCCAATTACCGAGATTACCGAGATTTGTTAGCCTGTGTTATACAACCTGGTTGATCTACGTTTCATCATTGACACAGCAGCGGAAGAGGAAGCTTAACGACGTTACGTCGCTAACAGCCTGACCAGGAGCTGCTTAGGCAAAGGTTAAATGGCATTCACTGCTCACACGCACCCAATTTCGCGCGCACTCTGGGTACTGTATACCGCCTATCTCCCTAAACCTATAATTTAATATGAAAACACATGGAGGGGTTGTAAGTTGGCCACTGGTTAGTGGATCGCCTGCTCCATTACCAAAAATTGCGATCACTAACACGCAGCGCGCAACCAAAGAAAACCGAACCTAATGGCACTCTTCCGATTGGCCATGTCGAATACCTCACCCTGTCCTACAAATGTGAGGACTAAGTACACCAGGAAATTCTAAGAACCTTCAACTAAACATAAACATACCTGTTTGCATCGAGACGATGTTTGAGTGTCTCAAGGAATCGCACAGTTTGACCGTACGAATGAATACAGGCTAGGCCTTCAATAGTGGTGGTGATGTGATCGAAGAGAGGCGATCGCGAAATATTTTCGGATCGCTTGAGACTGAAAAACCATTTCTTACACTAATAAAAAACGAACTGAAAACATGTAAGGCTACGTTCATACTTCGCGACTCGGCGTTTTGAGCGAAATGGACAACATGGGTTCGATCGCCGTCGGTCGCTAGCATTTCGGGCACCGATCGATACCTCTACTCCTTCCCTTTCCGCTCAAAACGCCCAGTCGCAAAGTATGAACGCAGCCTTGAGCAGGCGAAAACACTGACCTCCTTATTCCAGCGCGGAAGCACATCACAAACAGTAAGAAAATAGCCAATAGTGGAATACAAGCTATGAGAAATGCAGGGAATACCCAAGCAATAACTAGGAGAAATCCTATGCATGTGATCATATTTTGCAGGAACACCTCAGCTGTGAAGGGTAGCTTGACGTCGACTGGAAAAATTATCAAAAATTGAAAGTTACAATCAAAAAAAAAACAGCTGACACCATAAAATACACCTTCGACAGAAAGCAAACAGAATGAGGCAGGGACTGCCAAATGGATAAGAGTTTAGGCTCACTGCACTCTGATAGGCCGCGGGTTCGATCCCCGTCGAGGAAGTAACTATGCCTCGTGAAAAATGTTGCAAAAATGGTACCGCTGCGAGCGCCAGAACCAGGTAAACAGACCGGCTGATGAAGAAACTAGTCGCACCAATCATGTCTACAGGAAGTCGTGGCGAGATCTAACAAGAAAAGCGGACCTCACGACGAAGCGGGACTAATGCTGTGTAGAAGAACAGAAGGTAGCACAATCCTCAACAAAAGAGGATCTACTACTTTTGCGTCTCCCGGGTGAGTGATAAGGAAGTAAGAGGTCATAGGGAAGAGCGGGCTCCGCCCCTGGAGGTCAGCCCCGCCCTTTAATTTCATTTCGCAGCCGCTACATGGTGACGCATTCCTGCTCGTCTGCTGCTCCCGTCGTCTGATTTTCTATTACAGGACTACCACTTCACCGTATGCTCGTACGTTATGCTGCTATGCTTGAAGCCTCGGGGCTTTATTTTGGGCATTTTTGACGGTATCGTTTGTTATTTTCTTCACTCCTAATTCGATTTCCAGGATCGCACCGGGCATTTTAGAACTATTTCTGCAGCCTACTACTTTTTTCCACAGAAGAACCATATAAATCCCGGATGGACTCCAGGATAACCAGCCAAGACGGATAGGAGCGCATTCCCCGTTAAACGTCAACAGGTCAACATAACAAATTAGCACAATTTTTGTCAACCGATTGAATTGATGAGCTCACTTTCATCCATGTCTTTTGAGAATCGATTGAGAATTCGGCCAGTTGGCGTCGAATCGAAAAAGCCAACAGTTCCTCGAATTACCGACGAGAACATGCCATTGTGCAGACGGCTTGCAGCATTAAGAGAGACCTCAAGACATATCAAATTAATACAGTATTTGCCAATTTTAGATAATTCAACCCATAAAGGGATAATTGGAGCTCTAGAGGGAGGATAATCCGCCACTTTTTACCCTTTAGGGCTAAACTCTTCCAAATTCAGGCCACACTTTGATCTCATTGTTCCCCTGGGGTAGCTTGCCCAAAATTTCGTTCCCGGAGGTATTCCGACTCCTGCACATAAACATCACATCTACTTGAAGCGGAATTCTGTGGCGCCCGCGCCACTTTGGTGCTGACGCCTATAGCGCAAGTATAAGGCTTCCACGTTGGAACAAATGTGACATTCCTGCTCGGGAGATCGAGTGAACCCTTTGTACAAAATTTGGAATTTCGATTTGGGTTTTCGTAATACTTTGGCGCCAACGCCAGGTGGTTCCGTGCCAAGCGGATGTCGCAGATACAGTCTTGTTCGCTGCGGATGAAGGTGTGTGTCATAGACTAGTTTTGACACAGTGCCAAATCCGTTTTCATCAGCCGCAGAAGCAAGCAAGCAATAAGACTGTCGTTTCATTCGTAGACGTGTCATTTCATTCGTATCGCCCGTTTTACACCAACTGTTTTGCTTACCCGCTTCGACAACTGGTCGAAAATGAATTCGGCGCCGTACCACAGCCAGCCTCACTGACAGGCCCCATCATCCGCAACGAACCATACTATGGCTCTGTGTAAAGAGGTCAAACTACCCCATGGGACAAATTCCAGCTAAGGCTGTGTTCATACTTTGCGTCAGCGCCAGCGCCAGCGACTAAAAAAGTACATTTATTGATCTAGCGATCAGAAAAGTATACCAGCATTATGCCACGTTTTCGCGGGCAGTTTTGCTCAAGCTCATTGCCCGCCAAAACGCTGGCGTAAACTGGCACACGCTGACATTCGCTAGATCGACATCCTGCTTTCTCAATCGCCGGCATACACTAACGCAGAGCATGAACGCACCTAAACTTACTGTTGGACGAATTTCTGTTGAAATCTAGAACGAATTTCGAGGAGTTGGTAAGTAGTGCCACATACTTTGTTCTAATACTTTAATTCCTAGACGATACGACGATATAATTTGTTTGAAAAGCCTTAAAAATGTGTAAATCCTAACCTTTACGAAAATCATGGCCTTCAAAAGTCCCGAGAGAAAAAGGACAACAAGCGAAACACCGTAAACCGTTGAGTAATATGGTGTATCAGGACTATCGGCAAGACTTCCTTCCGAATGCAATCGAACGCTACCGTTAGCTTCGACTAGCTACAAATATAACAACAATTTGTTATTTCTACAACAAATTCACAGGATTAGTGAAACGCACACCTCTTCATGATGACCCGTCTTCAGCCAACGTGACAACCAAAAAGTGGAGAAAATTGAAGCCGATATGTTAAGAACAAAGGCAGCAAGCAACAACACCCACACTAGCCAACTGCCAGCGGCATGAATGTAACTTCTACAATAAACGTCACTTATAACCTTGTCAATGAGGCCAGTAATAATAACATCGAAGAAAACACTAACTTGTAAACAGAAAACGACATTGCAGCCAAGCCCAGATCCTCTTCATCATCGACAACTCTGCCTGAAGCATTACTACATCATTACAGTAGATTGTTAGGGCGAATTTCTCATTCCATATCCTCGAGATGAGGACGGCGTGGTTGCGCTTTCAATTTGACCAAGTAGGATGCGTTTCCGGCGAGACAACCTGTTTGGGACGACTGTCATTTTGTGGCATGATTATAGTTGTCATCAAAAGAAAAGATTCCACCGTGTAGCCTCCACGACGTTCAAGTGAAGTACGCAGCCACGCCCTCCCCATACCAGAATATGGGTGCACATGAGGTCAAATTCAGTCAAAGTGCCATAGTGAGGCACTTTGACTGAATTTGAGGTACCGCAAATCGTACTACCATACTAATACAGACAGTTTTCTAAAAACGCGTGCACTTTGTTGAGAACTCGTCCATACTTTGCGAGTGTGGGAAATATGGGAAGCGTGGGGTTTGGGACGACGCGATTCGCGCGATAAGGGAGAACGTTCAGTGTATGCGCACTTGTTTTCGCTGTAGACGCGGGGAGCGTCAGTGGGATGGATTTGGCATGCCTCCAACTCGTTTCCCACCAACTCTTGCCGCTTGAACCATTGGGGGCCGGTGCCGTGCCAAACTCCGACCCCGGACACGCCGGCGTCTGCAGCAAAAGCGGTTACGTGACAACTAAAACTTTTGTGGAAGGTCCTGCCGCGAAAGGGCAGAGCACAGGAAAAAAACAGCGGCTCCTCACGCATCGAGAGATACAAAAAAAAATGCTGCGAGCTAAGAGATGAGCTTTTTCAGAGGGAGGGGACCTGGGGTCGGTAAGCCACTCTATGCACGCAAAGTTGGAAGGTGAAAGGTTAGGGTGGTCACAGAACGCCATACAGACGTGAGAGCGCAAAGAATGGAAAGTTGGTGCCACTGAAGGGATTGGGTTCAGCGAAAGCGACCGCATAGATCTAGAGAATCAGCCATTCCGAAAACCGGCAACAAAGGATCAAATGAAAGTCCATTGACCCCGGCGAATCGTGAGCCGGGCATTCTTCCACATCGCGGATTCTGCCGATCAATACTCATCCTTTGCATTGCGCACAGCCTTTCGAATCGTTGGTTCTCCAAGCATGTATGGGACGTTATAGATCATAGCAATTCGACTAGGGTCACTACAGGAGGTGACCAGTCAATCAGGACAAGCCCTATTCATTTTTGAATCATAGTATCTAACCTTTATTCTCATCCTCTGAAATAAGTTTCGCACTAGCATCGCGAATATCGATGTCTTCGACCTGAAATCGATAACTTCAATAGGATTAAGCCATTCTAAGAAGATCGAAGACCAAATGAAAATCTAAGCACTTTGTCGTAATCATCATCTGACGGAGAAGCCACCCGTCCCTCTAGATTTGAGTTGTCCAAAAAGCTTTGCTTCATGGTGACTTCTAAAATGAAACAATCATTTCATGAAAACGATATTTTGGCACAAATCCGCTAAGGATGTGGAAGGCGGGGGGAGGTGGATCATGTCGTGAACTTCTGCCAAGATAGTGGCCACTTTCGTATAATAAAGGCTTATAAAGCCGAGAAACATTACAAGTTTCGATTCCATGTCATTCCTTCGTTATTTAGGAATATGGATTACGAGCTCTGAGAGGAGTATGTGACAAGACAATCATAATATCCCACGCTGGTTGGGGTGGCGAGCGACGCCGCGCGCGACGACGACGCCGAAAAGTACGATTGTCTTGTCCTTCTCCGCTGCGGGAATGATTAACCCATATCTTTTACGCAAAAAAAAAGTTTGCGCATTTCGTGGGAAGCGGAGTCATCCACGACATCTCCCGCACCTTCTAGGTTATTTTACTTATTTATATTTACTATGGACTTACAAGGAGACGGAGGCGGTGTAGTCAGTCGCACGTGGCCCGCCTACCACTGCTGCGGTCAGGGATCAAACCCCGGCTTAATTCCCTCCCAGCTTGATAAAGTGATCCACCAACCAGGGACGGTAAATTTATACCAGAATCGTCTATGGAAATCGTCTAAACACACTAGCTTGCGCATGGCCCGGCCCCGCAGATCATTGTACGCACTTGCGTTCAGTAATCACTACAATTCTATAATAATAACTTTACAGGAGTTTGTAAGCTGCAAAAAGCCCCATATGTTGACAAATGTCAAAATATCCACCCATCCCACCAAAGCAACCTAGCGTCTACATTTCTAGTAAGTCCTACCTCGTCCGTGTACAGATGCACTTTCACAATACTCTTTGTACTGAGTACAAGTTGCGAGTAATTCTTCATGTTCACCATGGGCTACAATTCTTCCGTTATCCACGAACACAACACGATCGCATTGCGATAACCGCTATAAAAACTTCCTTCACTCCTTCAAGATTGGATTACATTCTGATTCATTCTTTCTTTTACAGCTAAGATGCACGGACACATAGAAAGAGATTATCGCACAAGGGGCTGTTGGGCTTGAAGGGGGCACTTTGCACTTTCGCTAGTTTCTTCTGCTAGTCCCCGGTAAATTACACGTCCCATCTTGGCAAGAACTGTAGACTCCTGTCAAATGTAAAAGGAGCTCCTGCCCCCAAGTAACAGGTCTCTACAGGAGGTATTAATTGTAACCGGCGCTGTTTATCGACGGGGGGGGGCATTTTGTATTATAATTGCTTTCGGTTTACAAATCTCACTCTGGTAAAACTTGTGAACGCTTGTGAAGCTGGAGCAAGATGGTCTAGCCACTACCTAAAAAGTTTCAACTCGAAAAAAGGGTACCTAGATGGGTTGGCCAATCTACGAAAAGCAAAATGCCTCCCCTCCCGTCGATAAACAGCCATTGTACAGCAAAATGCCCCCACCATACTCCAAAGCTCTTGATTTTGCTGATCGCAGTGCATAATAATGGCAAGCGAGTAGCATAATACCCCTAACCAGGAAAGGTCAACAGGTCGCCATGGCCATTCAAGATGAGATGTATATCGACGTGTAAGTCTTGGGACGCTGAACTCAATTCTGCTTCCAAAATTTGCTGAACGATTCTCTGTGAGGAGTTAGGGGGGGGTGGTGGTTTTAGCATAGCACTCGCCGATCCCCCTTTGCGTAGCTCAAGTTAAGTTCGAGTTCAGAAAGACTCATCTGGTCGATGGTGAAGTGGATAGGTAAGTTGCTTCATAGGTGGGAGGTCATGGGTTCGATTCCATGGCAGGGTGTGGATTTTTGCACTTTTTCGGAACATCTTCTGCGAGTTCGGAAAACACTTTTATCCGTTATTTTGTCAACTTTGCTCTTAGTTGCAGCAGAAAAAGACTCAGTTGCCGGCAATTTTTCTTCGCTTTGAAGAGTTCCAGGCAGTGTTCACTCTTCACTAGGCCCTACATCACCCGAAAGCAGGCCAGTTTGTTGTCTGACTTTTTCTTTCGTGAGCAGAATTGGCTGAAAAGTTGGCCTACTAGGTAGTCTGCCCATCTGAACATGATTATCACATCCGTCGCCAGGCAAACCCCTCGCACCCGTGTCACAGGCGCCAGCGCCCAAAATAAACCCTCGATCACCAAGTTCATTGAAACTTTGTCAACTGGGGCAGTTTGACACCCTAAACACGAATATCACACCCGTACAGTCTGAAACGCCTGACGCATACGCCACAAGCGACCATCACACTCCGGACTCACTTGTTCCGACTCCGGCGCGTGCAGCACAGACTCCAGTTCGCTTTCGTGCGAGGCTCTGTGCTAGGGCAGTTGGGCAAATTGGCCAAAGTAACGCCACCACTCTTCCTGGTTCCCTGTCATAGAAAATCCTTCCCTTGTTGGATGATTTCAGCTCGCAGGGAAAAGGCCCCATCTCAGGGGAGGGTGCAGACGCAGGTTGCGCAATCACATTATACCTTTTTCCTCTATCCCGAACGTTCTACAACGCCCCATACAATGTGGTGTTCGTGTTCAGCAGGTCAAACTGCTCCGCTCCATTTGAAAAGTTCCAGTGATTTCTGGTGATTTCGAATACTATGCCGCCGGCGCAGGCATCCGGCTCAGCTAATGGAATATTCGTGTTTAGGGGGTCAAACTACACCAGGTTGACAAGTTTTTCAACGAACTTCGTGATCGAGGGTATTTTGGCCGCTGGCGCCTGTGACATGGGTGCGAGGGGCGGTTTCCTGCCGACGGATGGTGATAATCATGTTCAGATGGGCAGACTACCCTAAGTAGGCAACTTTCCAGCCAATTCTTCTCAAGAAGAAAAAAAATTCAGGGCAAAAACTGGCCTGATTCCGGGTGATTTGGGCAGTAAAAGGTAAACACAACCTAGAAGTCTTGAAAGAGAAGCACAATTGCCGGCATTTAAGCCTTTTCCTGCTCCAAGTAAGAGCAAGCTTGACAAAATAACGAATAAAAGTATTTTCTGAACTCACAGAAGATGTTCCGAAAAAATGCAAAAATCCAAACCTGCCATGGAATCGAACCCACGACCTCCCGCCTATGAAGCAACCTACCTATCCACTTCACCATCGACCACGTGAGTCTTCCTCAACTCGAACTCAACTTCAGCTACGCAAAGGAGGATCGGCGAGTGCTTTGCTAAAACCACCACCCCCCTAACTCCTCATAGAGAATCGTTCAGCAAATTTTGGAAGCAGATTTGAGTTCAGCGTCCCAAGACCTACACGTCGATATACATCTCATCTTGAATGGCCATGGCGACCTGTTGACCTTTCCTGGTAAGAATCCTTCATAAAGAACTCACAGCTCATTATAGCCTCGTTCGGCCTAAAGGGGCATTATAGCCTAAAGGGGCGTTCCAGGCGGGTGCGCTTAGGGTAGCGCCGAATCTGTGTTCCACTTATTAGAGCTGTTAAGCAACAGCAATCGGTGGAAAACGAATGGCGCAAACGATATTACACGGCCTTGTCGCTGGTTCTCTTCGACAACTGGTGGAAAACGGATTTGCAGCCGCGCCAAACCCATCCCACCTGACACGCCCCCTCACCCACGGCGACCAGAATGTAGCTTTGTCCCTAGAAACTGCAAATCCCTGGTTCGTACACGAGTGGTTTTGTCTGCGCCACTGCACGCGCTATCCCGGCAACTCCCCGCGGCGTGGGGCGTCCACTAATAACAATAACACCCGTGCCATGTGACTCTGTTTTCATGTAAGATGAGATCAAACGAGATAAAAGGAAAACATGCCTGTGGATCCGATGTGACCATTAAAACGGTCTTGCTGGAAAGCACGTCTCGGACAGCCTTCTCGAATATTTTGTCTCCAACCTTAATTATAATACAAATCGATATCATATAAATAAACATGATCCAGCCTCAAAAGCAATGGACACTATGGCTGTGAGCGGGCGGTTGTCGCCTACGTCACTGGTGGAAAGGATGTGTGTATGTAGCCAAACGCCGCAGCCATTCCACCAATGACGTTGGCAACAACCGCCCGCCTCCAGCAATCGTGCCTACCGCCTTTGAGCAATACTACTCCAGTTAAAAAGTGAAATCACCTTTTTATCGAGACTAGCGAGAACGTCGTCTAGAAGATAGATATCTTTGTGAGCAAATATAGCACGGGCTAGCGAAACTCGAGCTTTCTGTCCACCGGAAAGTGTGGCGCCTCGTTCTCCAATCTGAGAATAAACCACTTACAAAGCAGAAGTAATCAAGCAACAGTAACTAAGGAAAGAAACTGTAATCACGGACCTCAGTTTGATCTCCCGCAGCCAATGTTTCCAAATCCTTCGTAAGCTGGCAACTGCTAACAGCCTAAACCTCAGTGATTTCTGGATATAGTCGGTTCTTGCGCGAACTGTGCAATGACAAACCTTATAGTATCGTTGAGAATTCATGGTCGAACCAAACAAGATGTTTTCCTGGACAGTGGCGTTCTGGATCCATGGTGTTTGTGGAACATAAGCATATGTGCCACCAACCTCCAGTTCTCCATTCACGGGGTACATCTAAAATGGTGACAAAACTGTGGGCTTATGAGCGCTATTTGAGACTGCCTCTAAGTAACATAAGGCCCACACTTGGCGCTAATGGTCGCATGTATACGGACTTAGCCGTCATCAGGGCAGCGGTTGATATACACTCGAGATCCCTGAGATCGGGCAGGCGTGGCCGCATTTTTCAACTTACTCTCAAGGCGTCTACGCTTCTGAAGCGATATTTTCATCTCCACACAGTCGTTGTCGTGTCTCTGTCCAATACAAAACAAGATGACAGTTGTCCCAGAGTGGAATATTCCACCAGTAACCAGTTCCTTAGTGTTCGAATGCTCCGCCTACCCGATCTCAGAGATTTCGAGTATATGCCGGTGCTAAGAGAGCATAGACGGCACAAGACAGCACTGAAGCCCCTTCCTCTGCTCTCTGCCTGAAGCGGCAACTGTCCTACTCTCGTGCTTACAAGCAAGTCCAGACCTTCCTCCGCCAACGTCGAGATATGGATCATAACATAATGTGCCCGAGGGAGGGGAGGGGGGTAGAGAAATTGAAAATCTTTACTATTCTCTTCAATAAAGGCTCACATAAATGCTTCTGTTACTTACGTGTCCAATAATGCTGTTGAGTAGTGCACTTTTTCCACTTCCAACTGCACCACAGATGCCCGTCAACTCCTTTTTGCGAATGTTCAACGTGATATTATCCAGAGCGAACGAGGATTGTTCAGTGTTCACAGGTGTTGCTTCGGTTGGAGGCGAAGTGGGTTCGGCTAAAGAGACCGCACAATACAAGTATTTTACAGAATCTCAGACGTGCAGGAACTCAGATTCATGTCGTGGAAATGGAGAGGGCGTGGCTGCGTACTTTATTCGAACACTTCGTTTTAAATGTCTTTCAAAAAGATATCCCCAATTGAAGGAGTGGGCACGATTGCTAGAGGCGATCGGTTGTTTGAGTGTTATTGGTGGAAGACACTTAGTGACACCCTCAACTAGTGGCACTGTCGAAAACCGCCCACACCTAGCAGTCGTGCTCACTGCCTTCAAAACAACTGTACGTGCTGGAGAAGGAATTCATTGCAACTGACCCGAAATGAAATATCTCACTAAAAGCGCAGCCATACCTTCAAAGAAGTGATGAGGGCACACCCTTTCCATAACCGGGATTTGGAGTGCTTCCACGTCCTATTTTACAGAGAAAAACACTGGTGGCCAGACTGGGACCGAACCAACTAGGAGTACAGTCGTCATCCGGGCAGTTGACTAGGCAGTCAATAGGTCGCAGACGCGGCTGCGGCGCATCACGACCGCGGCGATCAGCTGTTTCCAGCCTGGTTTAGCCACCTTCTCCCTAATTTTCACTGTATCGTCTATTTTTTTTCAAGCTGTCCTTATGAAGCATCTTAAAAAGTGCACTACTTTTTTCTGATTTTTGTATTGAAGTGTTTTTGCGATTTTTTAGGTATTTGTTTAACTGTTTATTTGTTATTCGCAAAAATTAAAAAAATCGCAGTCATGATTTACCTTGTGAAGAGAAGGAAACATTAACCTCAGGAAAAATACCCAAAACAATGAAAAGTAGGGAGAAAATGACTAAACCAGGCCGGAAACAGCTGATCGCCTTCAAAATTCCTACGTACGCGGTCGCCACTGCAGCCGCGTCTGCGGACCTTCGCCGACCGCCGAATCAACTGCCCGGATGACAACCGCAGATAAAGACATGAGCAGCACACTCTAGATGAGTTCGGCTGAAATAGGCTGAAACAAGCCGTACCTGATGGAGGATTCCACGCGAACGTCGCATGGTAGAACCGGATAGCTATGTTCTGGTCCTGTGCATGAGGTTGAACCGGTTCCCATTGGTCGTACTGAAAGTCCGTATTGAATAAGTTCCTTCCTGTTGGCAGTACAACAAAAATAAAAAGGATACTCTTCGGTGTTATGAAAACCTTTCTGGCATGCGTCACACATTCCACTCCCATTCGTGACTGTTCCTCACAAACTAGCCTGGTATATGTTTAGCGAGAATGAAGGGCTAAAGGTGGCTGGCTGAGGCGGAATTCGATCGCCGAGCTGTGAGCCTTGTAAGAGTCCGCCCACGTTGTCGCACGGCCAGCCACACGCCTAACCATGGTCAAACGCGCTGTTTCTCTGCGCTCTCTCAATCCTGGCTACTCTCTACCGCTGAGGGCATATTTCGCTGCGGGATTTTGGTATCGAAACAAAAGCTGCAGATTGGAGATAGCGCGAATATGAAGGTAGCACCCGATCATCACCACCTGCCAACACCTTTTCCTCGCATTTTCGAGGGAAGAAAATGAGCTGCGTACCAACTTACTTCGCATATGGAGAGGGCCGCCCTCGGAGCTGAGTGTACAGCTTGTCTTTGAGCCAGTTACGCCTAAGAACTCATACTGTGGTCCCAATGCCTAGGAATTTTAATCTGTAGAATGCGTCGTCAAGTTTGGACTAGGCGCACCAAGACAATTCAGACAATTTACTACAAATGGGGAGCAAATCAGTCGCGATTTTCGGTCCAGCTGTCCTGCGCAGACCAAAATAGGGGATGAATAAGACAACGAGACGTGATCGTAACTCATCGTTGAGTAGTGCCAATAGTTAAACAGGGCTATACCAAAGTACACCCCCATGAACCTTCTAGAATGTATCAGCCTAAATGACAACTTACAAGGAGAATTTCCTGAATTCGTCGGACCGCTACCAATGCTTCAGCCAAATATCGACTACCATACGGAATCATTCGAATACCGAATAACATCACAAAGAACACAGTAATTGCAGAAAAGGCCTAAAAAGCATCTATTTCGTCCCAAAAAACGTCTAGAGAAAAGGAGGAAGAAGAAAAAGGGTAGGAAAGCCACTAACGTCACTAGCAAGCAGATCATGCCCTGAAAGCACAACTCCTAGAAAAGTGAGAATTGCGGCCACAACTGGTACAACAGGTCCACAAGCAATAGCTAACGATTGCGCGTATCCGGCTGTTCGGATGTCGATTTTTTCAGCATGACGCATTTCTGAGAAATAATATGGTATAGGAATCATATATAAAGGAAATTTGGAAAATAAAAACTAACGTTCAATTTTTTTCGAGAAACTTTCTTCCATACAGTTGATCTTTATGACACGAATGCATCGGATAATTTCTCCCATCAGACTAATCCTCTTCTCTGTCTTTTCGATGGCATTGTTACGACAACGAACCATAGTCTTACCCAGACCATACTTGAAAACGGATCAAGTTACTCCGCAATCGAGCAAAATCTATCTACAACTACGGCATCGGCGTAATACATTGGGCATATAGTGCAGTTGTTCGTCAAATTATAGTAATCAAAGTCTGGGCTGATGCCGTTTGGACTCCAAATTTCGGCTCCGAGCTCATTTTCAAATTGCCTAAGCTACCAAATCCACTAAATGCTTGTATATAAGGGTAATTCAACATACTGATTACGAGTATGACACTCATTATTGGCGCTGGCGCCAAGAGATGACACTACGACAACCTCCTGGGCTCAGCCTTAGCAGAGCGCAGGTAACCGTAGTGTCATCCATTAGCAAAGGCTTTTCCTGACCGTTCACCATAAAAACTTTGCAAAGCCTGCGCCATAACTGCCCGATGTATCACACTGGTGCCACAATTACTAACTACATCTTACCTGAATGACATCAAAAATGAAAAAGACAAGAATTCCAAGCAATGACCATCGTCCGACAACAGCCAGCAAATACGCTATTCCTCCTAAAAGTCCACATACAATGTAATGAATATAAACGAACAAAACTGTAATTACACCCACCAATGAGTACGAGAGGTCCAACGATTACGAGAGGAGCAAAAGTCACCGCATCGAAAAGTCGTTGACCATCATTCGCGAACATATTAACGATCTAAAAAAAGCCTACGTTCATTTTGTAACTAGAAGGAATATGAGTTCTCGCGAATAGAAGAACGCGCGCCGAAGAACTATGTGGGAATCGATCAATTGTCCTATCCTCCAAGTTCGCTAGATCGATACTCACACTTTCCTCGAGTGCGCATTCTCCCACACTAGCGATCCTGCCAAACAAATGAGCCTCTCTGCAAGATGACCGTCAAAAAACCCTTACCTCTGCTGCATTTTTCTTTCCAAGACTTCGAGAATTGAGGAGGCGTTTGAAGAGCAGACCGAGAAGTGCACCTCGGACTCGAATCCCAGTACGATAAGAAATGGCCCATGTTGCACCGTACGATAAAACACGAGCTATTTCGACCTGAATAAAAACTCTTGAAAATGACGTCTTTTCAAACTATTTGACACCAGTTCACGGATGTGGGAAGACTTCTCTGCACTTTTACGCACCAATGGCAATCGAAAAAAAAACAGCGAATATCATGTTTCAATTGCAAAGCATTTTGCATTAATGAAACTTCTTATGTCTCTATGACATCATGTCTTTCAAGCTGATTAAGCATTCATCGCAAAACTGTCATTTTGTCACTTTCGTAGTACAACGACCATTTTTTTGTAGTTTTAGCTTCTTGCGCTCAAAAATATCTGAAGGATTACACGCATCTTAAGGAAAATGACCCTCCAGGTGAGTTTCAGGTATAGATGAAAAACCAGCAATCCACCTGAAGGGAGCACCAAACACGATGTACTCCATGTCCTGAAGATAGAGTGGGCGTGGCCGCGTACCCCATTCGAATTGGCGTTTCTGGTGGGACACTCTTGTTCCGGGACAACTGTAATCATACTCACAGTAATCGCACACTACGCCATGTTCAAATGAAGTGCGCAGCCACGCCCTCCCCGTCTTTGGGATATGGAGTGTATCACAGTGCAAAGGAATTGAGGGTAGATCCAAACCAGACCAATCAATCGGGCACAGTAGCTGTGATACTAGCCATATCGACACATTTCAGCTAAATTATTCGATCACGTGACTACCTAACATTACTGTATGGTCTCGCTGCGAAACTGTGCAACGCATACAGTTGAGGGCAGAGACCAACAAAGCATCGAAATAGGCTGAAATGAGTAAATGGATGGGATTATCTAAGGAGGGGCGGGGGGACTCCGAGGTGAACGAGTCACTTATCACGCGTTAAAAGCTGGATCGTCCTACGTCACAGTGGTCATAACACGTCATGTAGACGAGAGAGCGCAGAGAAAAGATGAAAATTCTTGCGATTCAAGGGATTGGGTTGAAGTTTGGTGGAGAGAATCTCTGTCGACACTTACTGATAGGACAGCCGGTTTTTCTGTTTCAAGTACGCTACCCCCCCCCCCCCCCC